GGGGTCGCCATCTTTGGGGTCATCGGCTCCTTGGGGTCACCATCTTTTGGTTTGGCACCTTGGGGTCACCGTCTTTGGGGTCATCATCTCTTTGGGGTCACTGTCTTTGGGGTCATCACCTCTTTGGGGTCACCATCGTCATCTTGGCATCATCTTCTTCGGTCACCTTCTTTTTGGGATCACCATCTTCTTGGGGGTCGCCATCTTTTTTCGGTCACTGTCTTCTTGGGGTCACCATCCTCTTGGGATCATGACCTCCTTGGGGTCACCATCTTTTGGGTTTGGCACGTTGGGGGTCATCATCTCCTTGGGGTCACCGCCTTCTTGAGGTTGCCATCTTTTTGGGGGTCGCCATCTTTTGGTCACCATCTTCTCGGGTTCGTCACCTCTTTGGATCACCGTCTTTGGGGTTGTCCCCATCTTTTTGGGGTCCCCATCTTTTTGGGGGGTCTCCGCTTTTGGGGTCACCATGGGGTCCCCTGCCATTTGTCATTTTCCAAATTAAAAACAACAACAACCACAAAACCACGCAATGAACCAAAGTTCCTTTTCCTGGGTACCGAAAAGGGACGATGGGAACCACGGGGGACAACTGGGGGACAATGGAGCACATGGGGACAGTTTGGGGGGTATTGGGGACATTTGGGGACAGTGGGGACATTTGGGGACATTTGGGCACATTGGGACAATGGGGCACAGGGGGGACAGTGGGGACACTTGGCGACAATGGGGACAATACGGGAAAAATGGGGTCATTGGGGCACTTAGCCACGCCCCCTTTTCCAGTAGCCCCGCCCACTCCCTTGTAAGCACGCCCCCTTCTCAGCGGCCCCGTCACCTTCGTGTAACCACGCCCCTTCTCGTAGCCCCGCCCCTGACGCACAACCACGCCCCCTTCTCATAGCCTCGCCCCCTCTCCGCCCGACCACGCCCCCTCCCCCCTTCCTCTGCGCTACTTCCGGTTCGCGCGACGGGGAAACCGGAACCGGAAGTCTAACTGCAGCCGAAACGGAAGCGGATCGCGGAGGAGAGGTAGAGCCGGGCGGGAGGTGTGTAGGGCGGAGCCGACGGCCGTGTGGGGCGGGACTGTGGAGGGGCTGGGGGTTCGGGCCCGTGTGGGGCGGGTCAGAGGCCGGGAGGGGTTGGGACCGAGCCCTGCGTGGTCAGCTGTGGGGTCCGTGTGGGGCTGAGGGCTGTGTGGGTCGGAGCGGATGTTTCTGTGGGGCTGAGGGCTGAGTCTGAGGCCGGGTACGGCTCTGAGTGCCCCGGGTCGGGTGTGAGGCATCTGTGGGGCAGAGACTTACGGGTTGTGGCTGTGGGTCAGACCTGAGACCTGTGTGGGGCTGGGAGCTGTGGAGCTGTTACCCATAGGGCTGGGAACTGTGTGGATCTGGGAGCTGTGGGTCTGCGATCTGTGAGGCTGAGATCTGTGGTGTTGGGATCTATGGGACTGAGACCTGTGGGGCTGGGAGCTGTGTGGGTCTGAGATCTATGGGGCTGGGAGTCAGGTGGGGCTGGAAACTGTGGGGCTGGGAGCCGTGGGGCTGAGCGCTATGGATCATTCCTGAGTCCCAGACCTGGAGCTGAGCTCCGTGGCACGCAGCTCAGCCCCATAAACTCCCTCCGTGCCCCACAGCGCCATGCGTTCAGACGACGAGGGGACGCCCCCTGCCTCAGAGTGGGATTGGGGCTGCCCACGTGCGCGGCGCCGCGTGGAGGAGCTGCACTTCGGCCCCGGGGGGCTCCTGCCCTCCAGCCCTGAGGACATCCGCAACTTCTGGGCCTTCTTCGAGCGGCTGCGACGCTTCCAGAGCCGAAAACCTCCTCCGACACCGACCCCGAAAAGCACCAGGAAGGATCCATCGCCTTCGCTCGGTCTCCCGCCGCGCTACGACGCTCTGCACCGCATCAACATGGCCCTACCAGAACCCCAAACCCCGCACCGCGACGGCTCCGCCGTGCCCCGCCGGCACCGGGCAGAGCTGCGCTGCGCCCTTCTGCACTATTTGGACTTCACCCAGAAGCAGAGCTTCTCCAAACTGGCCAAAATCCGGCGGGATCGCGCAGCGCTGCCCATCGCCCGCTTCCGGGAGCCCATCCTGCGCGCCGTGGCGCGGCACCGCGTGGTGCTGGTGGCCGGAGATACGGGTTGTGGTAAATCCACGCAAGTGCCGCAGTTCCTGCTGGAGGCTGGGTACCAAAACGTGGCCTGCACGCAGCCGCGCCGCATCGCCTGCATCGCCCTGGCCAAGCGCGTGGCCTACGAGAGCCTGCAGCAGCACGGCAGCCAGGTTGGGGCGCCTCTGCAATGGCTTCGCCCTTCTCATCCTGTTTTGGCCCGGTCTTGACCCATTCTCATCCCATTTTTCACCCATCTTCCATTCTTGACCCATTATGTTCCCACACTGACCCATTCTCCTCCAATTTCTCCCATTTTCATCCCATTTTTCACCTGCTCTCCCTCCACCCAAATCCTCCTCCTGATCCCCCTTCTCCCCATTTTTCCCCCCTTTCCCCACTTGTACCCCCCTTTCTCCCCATTTTACCCCCTTCCCTCACATCTCCCCCCC